CCCCCCCCATCGGTCAGCTGCTCCTCCCTGTAACTGCTCTTATAAATCACATCAGCTCAGAGCCTGGGGGGTGGCCATTACTAACTTAATGTCTGTCTCCTTCACTGTAATTCTGGGGTGATACTTTTTCCACAGACTGTTAATGAAAATGGTTATTGCTGCAGTGAGTTCATTCTAGCTTCGCTCAGGATGACGGTCAGGGATGATGATCTACATGGAGAACCCCCCCCCGCCCGCCGCCCTCCATCATACACGCAAGGCCTCGAACCCCCGACGGTGATTCACCGGAAAACCCCGAGGCTCCCCGCTCCTGATTCTCTTCTCACCGGTTGGTGCGATTTGCCAGCTGCCAAAGGCGCAGTCCGGCCTGAAACGCCGGGCAGGAATCGCCACGGAGACGCACTGGGTGCCGCTACCATGATGGTGTGGCACCACTGCCGCTGAGAGCATGAGATCTTATCACTGATGTAGGAGATTTGCAAAAAAAATAAAAATTAAATCGTTTAATGTCTCATAGATGCAACCTTCAGTCTCATTATCTCATGTAGGATAAAGAAGTCTGAGATAGATAGATAGATAGATAGATAGAGAGAGAGACTGAGTGCCATGATCTTACACCTTATAGCGGGTTTCCAGCACGTTGCCACATATTCTCAGAAGGGGATTAAAAAACAACCGAAAATGGGGAATGCTTTAAAAATACCCCGCCCCCACCCAGACCCCTGCCACAGGGGTGGTGAAATAATGACACGCTGAGGGCGTCTTCAGGTCACGTGGCAGCGTGTGCACATGACACGCGGCGATGCAGCCGTCCGGGACCCATCGCCTGCGATTGGACTCCCAGCTGGGGGAGACTGTCTCTCCCCCACATTCCTCCATCGTTGTTGTTTTGACACATAAAACACTGTATGTGTGATATAGTCATATTTGTACAGATAAATAGATCAGAGAGTGCGTTTTGGTGTGTCTGTAACGGACGCCACTCTTTATGGTGTTTCTCTGGATTCCGCACCATGTGATTCCATATTTTCCGTGATTTGCATGAGCGGCGGTTTGCTGGGGGCGTGGCCTCAGCTGAAGGGGACCTCACCTCCTGTCCCCAGGGGTGAGCACCTGAATGCCGCTGGACGGAGCCCCCACTGCCCCGACCGCTTGCCTTGCTGTCCCCCCCCCTAGTCTCGCCCACATCCTCACCTCATTCCACCTCCGACTGTCTGACCCCAGGCATCATGGCAGGAACTCGGCTGAGGTAACCGTGGCGACGGCATGCATCCCAGGGATGCCTAGGAGCAGGACGACGTAATAGCAGGCATCAGAGTGGGGCCCGTTATGGCTCGTCCCCCCCGAATCCCGTAACGAATGTGATCGTGGCCTGAATTGCGGGGCCAAACATGCGCTAGTAAATAAAGTATTAATGTGATGAAATATGCAGCGATAGAATATATGCATGAGCGAATGGGTGATTAGCGGCACACATGTGTGCGTGTGTGTGAGTGACAGGGCGTCTTTCTCCGGGATCCGCGGACAGGGAGTAGGTGTTTCTGTGAGTAAATATGCAGCAAATCATCAATTATTAATTAGCGGCGCATAAATCCATCCCAGCCGCTCGCCGCAGTCCTGTCCATGGCGGAGAAAGCTGGGGTGTTGGGGTGAGCCGTTCCCAGAACGGGCCCGCGGGCCATGAAGGAGTTAATGACGGCACTGCAGCTGTGGAAGGACACCCCAGCCCCCCCACCCCGATTCTGCCTTCTCGCTGCTGCGAGCGGGAGGTTTGTGCAGGTTTCTGTGCGGGTTTCTGCTCGCTAGCTCTGAGACTCAGGCTGCCGAAAGGTTCTCAGTCGATGTCCAGGTCTGCCCCAATGCGATCGGGAGAAATGGATATTGTGTCTGCTGCTTGAGCTCAGTCCCACTCAGCATGTGTATTCCGTGTTTAGTGGGGACTCTCCATTCACTTCTATCTCTGCAATGACAACCTTAAATCCTACCTAGCCCTAACCTTAACCATAAGTAACCAAGCAAAATACAAGACTTTTGGCATTTTTCGTTTTTTGATTGCATTCACAGCTCTTTGTGGGGACCTGAAAAATGGTCCCCACAATGTCAAAATATCAGGTTTTTATTGTGGGGGACATTTGGTTCTCTCGGTGTAATCCACACACACAGGAGGACACCTGCTAATTCTATCCTCAACATCACAGAGCAGAGGTGGGACTCAAACCCCCAACCACAGAGGTGTGAGTTAGTAATACTCCTCACTGAGGCAGTGAAATCACTGCTTCTTTCGTGGAGACTTTATGAGGGCTGCTAGGTTCTCCCTGGCCGTGTTATTCGGATTCGAAACCCAGTGCGGTGACAGAACCAGATGTTTTCATTTAGCTGTTTTCCAGATGTTTTCATTTACTAATTTCTGTTATTGACGTTGTCATGGAAACCACCCACTTCTGGAGCTGCACCAGCAGGACACTGCTCGTGCATACTGCATATTCACCGAAGCAGTTCGTTTTAATTACAGGAAGCAGCAGCGTATGAATCTGGTACCAGACAAGCAACAGCCGCGGGAATTAAACCAGCAGTGTACCGGTCACAGCTGTACTGGATGTAACGGCAACCCCGGGATTCAAACCAGCAGCATATGCGTCACGGCTGAGTTGGGTGTAGCGGCAGTCTGGGGATTCAAACCAGCAGCGTACCAGTTATGGCTGAGCTCAGTGGCAACTGAGTGCTGGTCTAAATGACAGGAGGCCATTTTTGTCCTGCCCTGGTGTTCGTCCTCCCCTAAACTCCGGTCCCATAGCACCACAGTGCCTGCCACGTCAGCCCAAGGGTCCTCTCTATGCCCCCCCATTCTCGGTCCTCTCAGGAGGGAGTCAGGAGCAATTGACAAGCAGCACTTAATTCCCCCACCCCCCCCCCCCCCCCCCCCACACACACACACATATATCTCT